TCATGTTACTAATTCCATATAATTATTACTAAAAAGGGACAAAGATCTTATTTTTCATAACTAATACGAATAAATGTTTATGCTATTTTAGTTTCCTACTTAATTTATGGAATATGAGGCATGCATATCCATCGAACCATCAATTTATGTGCAATTTCTATGAATAATTATTTAAATTCAAATCTCACAATATCTAAATTTTGAATGTACTGATCTAGAAATACACACAAAATAGAAAATTTTCAAAAGAATTGCAGAGTGTAGTGATAATTTATAGTACTTATTAACTTAAAATTCTCTATTTCCATTTAGGAGATAATTTGAAAGTTGTTGGAAAGAAAGACTAGGAATTAGGATATGCATATAGAAATTTGTAAGTGTCTCAATTGTGCAATTTAGTTTCTTATAAAATTAAAGACACCCCCCTCACCCTACCCCACCCCACCACCTCCCAACCGACAATACTTCAATATATTACAATAATTTTAGTTTTGGCTTAACAATAATTTATTGTGCAATTTAGTTTCTTATTCAGTTTTGGCTTAACCATAATTTATTCGCTTTAATTTTGTGATATTAAATATTTTATATAAAAAATTATAATAAAAAAATTATTAAAAAATAAAAAAGACATTTAAAAAAAATAAATTATCATAAAGAGTAAGACAAATAAATTTAAACAAATGCACGGCAGAACAGTAAAAAAGGTTAAAATTCCCTTTTCCTTTTCCTATTACTAGTACACTTATATACAAATATTTATTCCACTTGATTTGACGTTGTTGATTATTCTCGTCAGAGAGATGTACTAATATTTGACCAGCATATGTAAGATACTAGTATTTCCTTTTTTTGCGTTTTAATTTATTTATCTAACTTTAATCAGAATACAAATATTTTTTTTAAAAATAAGCAAGATTTTTAAAGTTTAGGATCTTAAATAAAAAATATATAAAATATATTAAAAAATTCATTAAATTTATTGTCTTTAACATGAGTCAAAAAATGAAAATTTACTATTAAAAAAATATATTTTATGAAACGAATTAAAAAAAAAAGTAAAATAAAAATAAATTGAAAGCGAGGACTAACAATTTTCCAAATCACCACCAATGAATCTGCTCTTCTGTTAAAAGAGGTCTCAGATTCGAATCATGAGTATGAAATTCTTTTTGATAGTGTTTTCCTTAAAATGAGACTAATACAGATTTAAATTAATCGATCTCCAAAATAATACCCGACATCAAATTTAAAAAAAAAAAAAATCTTTCAAATCAGCATGTGAAACTTTTGACGAGTGTGAATATAGAGAATTGGAAACTTCTCATGGCCACCCTCTTGAGAAAAAATTCTCCACTTTCTCTCTCGTGGATTTCATGTTCCCACAGAAACCAAACATCAAACATAGCCATATCAAACTTTCTTCTCTATTCTTCTTACTAGCGAAAAAAAAAAAAATGTCAGCCAGTGCCAACTTTTTCCGGCCATGCCCAATTTTATTGCTCTGTTTTTTCATATTCTTGATTTCTCCTTCTCATCAACAAGATGAGTTACAACTCCTTATGCAATTCAAATCCACTCTGAAAACAACACAAATTTCACATCTTTTTGACACGTGGACACCTCAGAATAACATTTGCAACTTCACTGGAGTTTTCTGTGATTCTGACAGTAAATTGGTTAAAGAAATCATTCTTTCTGAACAGAATCTATCTGGGGTTGTCTCTTTTGATTCACTATGCTCTCTGAAATCACTAGAAAAAATTTCTCTTGGTACCAACTACTTGTATGGTAGAGTCAGTGACCATTTGAAAAACTGTACAGAGTTGCAGTATTTGGATTTGGGTAACAATTCTTTTTCAGGGGAAGTTCCAAATTTGTCTTCTTTAAGCCAATTGGAGTTTTTGAATCTCAATAGAAGTGGATTCTCTGGTTCATTTCCATGGAGTTCACTTGGAAATCTTACTAGTCTAACTTTCTTGAGTTTGGGTGACAATTCATTTAATAAAAGTCCATTCCCTCTTGAAATCTTGAATCTTGATAAGTTATATTGGGTTTACCTTACCAATAGTAGTATTGAAGGCCAAATTCCAGAAGGTATTGGAAATCTTACTCTGCTTGAAAATCTTGAGCTTTCATATAATGACTTGTCAGGCAAAATCCCAGATGGAATAATCAAACTTACTAAGCTTAAACAGCTTGAGATTTATTCTAATGGACTAACAGGAAAGTTCCCTGTGGGGTTTGGGAATCTCAGTAGCCTTGTCAATTTTGATGCTTCAAGTAACAATCTTCAAGGTGATCTTTCAGAGCTCAAGTCTTTATCTCTTCTTGAATCTTTGCAGCTGTTTGAAAACCATTTTTCTGGTGAGATTCCTGTTGAATTTGGAAATTTCAAGTTTACAGAACTGTCATTGTACAGAAACATGTTTTCTGGTTCTCTTCCTCAAAATATTGGATCATGGGCAGAACTTCAGTACATTGATGTTTCTGAGAATATGTTCACTGGTTCAATACCACCTGATATGTGCAAGAAAGGGAGTATGACTGATCTTTTGCTTCTCCAGAACAACTTCACTGGTGGGATACCTTCGAACTATGCTACTTGTTTGTCGTTGCAGCGTTTACGGGTTAGCAACAATTCACTTTCAGGAGTAGTCCCTAGTGGAATTTGGAGTTTGCCAGATTTGGAAATCATTGATCTCACATTGAATCTATTTGAAGGCCCAGTGACATCCAATATTGGTGAAGCAAAGTCTTTAGCACAGTTGTTCCTAGCCTACAACCGGTTCAATGGTCAATTACCACAGACAATATCAGAAGTTTCTTCATTAGTAGCCATTAATCTGAGCGCGAATCAGCTCTCTGGTGATATTCCAGCAGCAATAGGTGAACTTAAGAAGCTTAATACTCTTCATTTAGAGTATAATTTGTTTTCTGGAAGTCTTCCAGATTCTATTGGATCATGTGTTTCTCTCTGTGAAATTAATCTTGCTGGTAATTCACTTTCTGGTGCAATTCCCGAAAGTCTTGGCTCTTTGCGTAGCTTGAACTCTCTCAATCTATCTGATAACACGCTCTCAGGTCAAATTCCAGCGACCCTTTCGAGTTTAAGATTAAGCCTTCTTGATTTGTCAAACAATAGGTTGAGTGGTAGCATACCGGATTCTTTATCAATAAAAGCTTTTAGTAATAGCTTTTTGGGAAATCCAGATCTTTGTAGTGAGAATTTTGGTAGCCTCAGGCCATGTTCATCAGATCCTCACACATCTAGAGACCACAGGACAGTCATGTTGTGCTTGATAGCTGGGGTAGTTGTTCTTGTTCTGTCACTTACGTGTTTCGTGTATGTGAAGTTTAAGCACAATAATCAGAACACTCCCGTAAAGAGACTTGATTCTTGGGATATCAAACAGTTTCATGTATTGAGCTTTAGTGAAGATCAAGTCTTGAAGGCATTGAAGCAAGAAAATTTGATTGGAAGAGGTGGTTCAGGGAATGTGTACAGATTAGTCTTGAATTGTGGAAAACAGTTGGCTGTGAAACACATTGTTAAATCCGATTCTGGTGACCAAAAAAGTTACCGGGACAGCTCAGCCATACTGGTGAAGGAGAATAGAAGATCAAAGGAGTATGATGCTGAGGTGACCACGTTAAGTTCCATTAGGCATGTCAATGTTGTCAAATTGTACTGTAGCATCACAAGTGAGGACTCAAATATGCTGGTTTATGAATACTTAACTAATGGAAGCTTATGGGACCGATTGCACACGTCTCAGAAAGTCAAGATGGATTGGTTGGTGAGATATGACATTGCATTAGGTGCTGCTCAAGGGCTTGAGTATCTGCATCACGGATATGACAGCCCCGTGATGCACCGGGATGTCAAGTCTAGCAACATCTTGTTGGATGAACAGATGAAGCCAAAAATTGCTGATTTTGGATTAGCCAAAGTTTTGCATGTTAATGGTACTAAGGACTCTTCTCAGGTTGTAGCTGGGACGCATGGCTACATTGCTCCTGGTAAATATTTTTCTCTTCCCTTTTCCATTTCATAGTCACTTAAAAATTATTTGGCAAATTCTAAATTTTATTCTTTCTTCATTGTTTGTCACAACAGAGTATGCTTACACAACCAAGGTGACCGAGAAGAGTGATGTTTATAGCTTCGGGGTGGTGCTAATGGAATTGGTGACTGGAAAGAAGCCAGTGGATGCAGAGTTCGGGGAGAACAGTGACATAGTCCAATGGGTTTGTAGCAAGATAAGAAACAACACTAGCATGATCGATTTGGTGGATTCAAGCATTTTCGAGGGGTTCAAAGAAGATGCTGTTGAGGTTCTTAAAATTGCAGTTCATTGCACATCAAGGACGCCAGCATTAAGACCTTCCATGAGGATGGTAGTTCATATGCTAGAAGAAGCCGAGCCTTGCAAGCTGACAAATGTAGTCGTAAATTCACCGAATGAGGATGGCAGGAAACAAGGACTTGCTAACTAATGGCAAGTCATGATGTTGAACTATCTCGTTGAGAGCAATGGAATTTTGCAGAATATTGAACTATGTTGTAAGTTCACAAAGAATGCTTAGTGTACATATGACACTTTTGAAGAAATAGTGTATTTCACAGCTGCATTAATAAATCCAACTAGCAAGTAATGTATTTCACATCCAAATTACTTATACAAACTGAGCAGTTGATCTACCCTACAACCAATTTCATTTTTCTCTGGTTCAAAATAATTTAATTTTGCATATCATCCAGCCAATCCCTATCAAAGTGATTTTAAAAAAAAATTTCATGTAAGATCATTTCCTTCCCGAGTACGTTCATCTACTCCAGATGTTAAAGAAAGCTTAATTAACCGGACATTCCAATTATGACAAATTACAATGGCAGATGAAGAGCTTCAAGTTGTTCCTTGAATGCTGTTCTATTTATATTATTGGTAATACAACACACACAAGTTAATTAAAACTGGATATAACACTTTCCTTTTTTATCTTACAAGAAATTTGTTTTCAACTATTGGCTCTTCCCATACTGGACTTATTGTTTGAGAACCATAATCATCAAAACAGGGAGAAATAGTATCACTTCCCATTTCATAAAACCGCCAAGTATTAGTAGCACGCTCAATGAAATAGACACAGTTGCTTCTGCAGCCCAATTGACTTGCATTAACGAACATACAATAATTAGTGCCTGCAAACAATGTTCTATTTCCAAACTTGTCCAATTTTAACCATGATAGATCATCCATCTGTAGCTTGAACACTTCCACTTTATCCACCTTCCTAATCAATTGTTCAAATATCAAGAAAATCAACAAGATCTCTCCATTGGATTCAAGTAAATACTCTGTGAAGTGTTTTGGAAAAACTGATGGAACTGCTCGGCTTCTGCTTAATTTAGTGATTTGAAAACTGGATTCAATTTCTTCGATTACAGCTAAAGTACCTTGTAAACTTAATGCATAGAACTTACCTTCAAAGCCGATGGCATTAGTAAATTGCATTAGTTTCCTTTTTGAGCAGTTAGGGTCAAGCAAGGTGTTCTCTTCTTTCATCCATTTATTTTGGTATCCAAGATGAGAAACCACAAAGGCTGGAGTGGAACATCCTGTTAACACCATCAGAAAACAGGCCTTGTTATTGTTATAAGGATTTGAAGACAGAGTTGCAAACTTGAATGGAATTGTGGGATCCCAAGTGGGAATACTCCGATAAGTGAATCTTGAAGTAGGAATCAAGAGACAGTACATTGCAGGATCCTTCCCTCCAGCAACAATCAACCCGTGTGAACATCCATGAAAATGTGTCCAAGGAATATCCCATGATGTCCTTCTACCGTACCACCAATATTCACCTAGTCGAAATGGGATGTTGAGGGTATGCTCTTGAGTCTTGGACCGGAAGAAATGATCTTTGTCGGAAATTTCAAGCCAGGGTAATTGTGCATTTTTGGTACTACATTGCTTAGGTACTGATCTCCATGATTTAGTAACACCAAGGAAGCTGATGTTTTGCATAAGACGATTGGTTTCATCAGGATGTTGCCTTCCCATAAAGTCGAGGAGCTGTTGAGGGAGATTTGGCCATGGCTCTAGGAAGCTTTTAGTCTTTTCTTGAGGTTTGACAAGCTTCTCCTTCTTTTTTTGACGACTCATTTTTAGAGAATAGATGAAGAGAGGACTATTCTGAAACTTCTAATATGCACCTTTTTATATTAGCTTGCCTCCATGTTCCTGCTGTTTTTTTTTTAATATTAAAAGAAGCACCAGAAACCGTAGCCTCCAAGGTAGTTGACCTCTTGGGACACAAGTTTTGTGACTAAATTAAATAGTTGAGTAGAGTTGACCATTTAGATGCTTGACTAACCCCCCCACCCTCCAACAATATGCAACCACCATGATTATTGTTTCATGTTCCATTGGATCCTAATATATTGGCATTGCATTATAAACAACAATGGAAGTGCATATTCCTCAGGATGTGAAGAATGGTGTATGAGGGTACTGATCCAATTGCAGGTGTTGCAGAGATCTAATTTGTGTTTACTTTGTAAAACGAACAAAGATTTATCAGGGTGGATAAAAAAATTGTTACTAAGGAAAATCATTATGTTCTCCGGGGCTACTTGAAAATGTGTGCATTTTTTAATGGGAAAAAAGGACAAATATATTCTCGAACTATCGTAAATGATATGCAGATACCCTCCGTCATACTTTTGGGACATTGGTGCCCCTGCCGTTCAAAAACTAGAGCATATATACCCTTCACTCTAACGGAAGACTAAATAGGGACACGTGACACAATCTTATCCATCGATCCGATCTTTAATAAATGTCGGATCAGTGGATAAGATTATTTCACGTGTATGTCTGTTTGTATAAAGGGTATATATGTTCTAGTTTTTAGACGGCAGGGGCACCAATGTCCCAAAAATGTGACAGAGTGTATTTACATATCATTTACGATAGTTTAGGGTACATTTGTCCTTTTTCCCTTTAAGAAATATACCTAAATAAAGTAAATATTTTATCAAAATATCCATATTAATTATGTATAGTTTCATTGGACTTGGAAAATGAATAAATTATTTTTAAGGATAAAATAAGAAAAATAATCATTTTTTTATACGTAAAATAGAGAAGTAAAAGTAATATTTTATTTTTAATATAGTGAATAGTAAAAATGAACGCGTAAAATACACTCTAAGTAACACACTATTAAGAAAGTGACGTTCTCTAGTTTAGTCAATAAATTTGAAATCTATGCACCAATGTCCCAAAATGCAAAATGGCTGCCCAAATGTCTGTAGTAACTGAGATTTGTCCTCTCCGCTGCAACACTCCAATCTCATTACCAGGTTCCAGTTTGATCTTCAACAGCTTATGCCCTGCTTCTTCAAAATCAACACTAAACATAATCGTCTGGTAGATTGTATTGATCTTTAATTCTTCCTACTTGTTTTAGTTTTCTACGAAATTGAGATCCTGGCTTGAAAACATCCAAAGCAATTTTAGAATCTACCTTTATCTAAAAGATTGATTTCATGGGTTGATTGATCTTCCTGCTCAACTAGGTCAAGTTTTGGACGAAGGCTATGAAAGATGGCATAATGGATCATATAAAGAGAGTATGTAATGGCACCAAACATGATGCTTCAAAAGTTCTCGAGGATGATTACGATATGACAAGCACTCTCACTTTAGGCAGAACAAAAATCACCATTAGAACCTGGTCACAGTTGAAACAGGTAACTTACATAAGAAGATTTTTAGGCTACGGTTTCACAAATCACATGATAAAAAAACGAACATTTCCATGATATTTTTCGCTTTGAACCAGCAACAACGAGGGAATGTAGTGATGATTTTGAACTGCACAAACCTGACTTTGAGGAGGTGTTTTTTCGAGTTTTTGTACCTGAAGACGTAAAAAGAAGGGATTGCAAAAAGAGGATATTTATGTCACCTAATTCTGTGCTGAACAAGGGAACGACTAAGTTGCGGAACAAGCATAGAAGTCAAGCAGCACAGACCAAGGCTGGGTTTATTGCCTGATGAATAACTTGACTGAAATATTGTTTTCAAATTGCTAATATTTCATTAAGTTACTCAGGTTTAGGATGATTTGAATTTTAAATTTTTATTATGTTGAGATATTGTAGTTTATTGAATTTTGAATTATGTAAAAAAAAATTCAAGTTGGCTATTTAAATTCAGCTTTTTTTGTTTCATCATCTTTTAAAAAAGCCAACAATGGTATCAAACGGATCTTCTCAATATAAGAGTTGTTTCAACAAGTTATACTTTATGTCCAATTTCACACGAGTCACGACATGTTAGAATGATAATACAACATACATGAGATACTGAATCATAAACGTGTTTCATCGTCGTGATGATTTTCCAGTTATTGGCTCCTCCCAAGTTGGGTTTTTAATCTCGGAACCAGCATCATCATAACAAGGGGAAATGTAACCACTTCTCATATCATACAGTCTCCAACCATCAATGGAATGATGAGTAAAATAGACACAGTTGTTTCTGCAGCCAACTTGACTTGCAGGCACTGACATACAACAATTAATCCCCGCAAATAACGTTCTATCTCCAAGGTTGTCCAGCTTTAACCATGACAAATCTTCAATCTGCAGCTTGAACACTTCCACTTTGTCCACTATCCTGTTTGATCTTTCTGAGATCAAGAAAATGAGCAAGATTTCCCCATTAGACTCAAGAAAGTACTCAATGAACCGCTTTGAGTAGTTTGAAGGAATGGCTTGTTTTCTACTTAATCGCGTGACTTGAAACTGAGATTCATCACTCTCTTCTATTACTGCAAGGGTCCCCTGCAAACTTAGTGCATAAAACTTCCTGTCAAAGATAATGGCATTACAGAATTGTATCAGTTGCCCCTTAGGATCATTCGGATCAATAAGGCCATTTTGATTGCATTCTTGTTTCATCCATTTTTTGTTTTGTCCTAACTGATGAACCACAAAAGTTGGGAAACAACAGCAGCACCAACCATAACTGGAATAAGGAAATAAAAATGATATTTTGCGATCGGATGGGGGAGTAGCCCAATAACCATAGCCTCCTTTGGAACTATTCAGAAAGCAGTAATCAATAGGTATCCTTTCTCCATACACAATCGACCAAGGTGAGTAGCAGTGAAAATGCTTCCAAGAATCATAACGTGGTCTTGTTCTACCATGCCACCAATAGCAACCAGATTCTTCGAATGAGAGGTTGAAGGTATGCTGCTGAGTTTTGCAATAGTATTGAGGTTCATTTGAAAGCTCAAGCCATGGTGATTGTGCAATAGAACTACATTTATTGGAAGCACATCTCCATGATTTAGTAACACCAGCAGGACCTATGGATTCAATTAAATTTGAACGTCTCCGTTGCTTTTTGAGAAAGTTGAGTAGCTTTCCAGGAAGATTTCGCCATGGTTCCACATAGGCTGACTCTTCTTTAGATGAAATTTTCTGTTTCCTCCTATCATTTGGAGCCATGTTTAGATATTGTCGAAAAGAACAAGGTTTAATTCTGATCTTGTCTGACAATCCAAAAAATGCTTTTATAATCTAATCCTCCCTGTCCCAGCTGCTTATTTTATTTAGTCTTTGGCTCCAAGAAATAAGATAGTTGACTTCTTCAAAAAATATTTCATCATTTATATGTTTTATTGATCAATTGGATATATAAAAATATGCAATAAGGTGCAGAGATCAATTGTGATTTGAAGGAATTATTTTTTATAGATTGAGTGTCCATTCCTTCCAACATAATAAGGCATCTAAATAGTCAACTCAGCTATTTATTGAAAGAAACTACCACTAACCTTGTGCTCCAAGAGATCAACTAACTTGGAGGCTATGTTTACTTGGTGGCCACATCTGATCTTGGTCACTTTTAAGCCCCAGCCTCAAGCCACATTCCCATACCATTTCCTTCTCGAGCTCTCGTTTTGCAAAAAAAAATTAACATGGTTCAAAAAGTCCAGAAGGAAAAGAATCAAATTTCACCAAAGAAAGAAACAAATACTAGCTCAAGGCCATGTCCAAATCTTCCCAAAGAACTCACCAGCTTAATCTCAAATGAACAGAGTCTAACAGTTGTAGTGGTGTCACCAAGTCATGGAGATCAGCAAAGTCAAAAAGTTGTAGGCCAAGAGGGAAGTCCCTATGGCCACAACTCACTGAAATTCAACAAAACACGAATCATTCTCACTGCTTCCATATCTGGTTTTATACGGGAGATTACTGGCCTTATGGTAGAAGATGGAGAACATGGAAGGACCCTTGGATATATTTCAGGGGTCATTCCCATGGTCAACTAATAGCAGTTGGACACTATCCAGATGATATCTTTTTGTGGAAATCCTACAGAGGGACTTACTGTAAACTTCCAACTTGGGATACTCGCGTTCCATTCAAGTTTGCAACTTTATCTACATTTCATCCCATGTATCTCAAAGGTCATGGGAAATGATGTATAACTAGGGTGCTAACAGGAGCTTCTTCCCCAGCTTTTGTGTTCTGTAAAATGGGAGTCAGAAAAGAATGTGTGTGGAAAAAACAAGACTGTAATGTCACTGATCCTTTTGGCTCAGGTGAACATTTTTAGTTCGTAAATGACATTGGCTTTAACGGGAAATTCTATGCATTGAGTTTGCAGGGAACCGTTGCAGTTATTGAAGAATTGATTCTAGCCTTAGTGTCACTAAGATCAGCTCAAGCAGGGCTGTTCGTTGTATTATTTCAAGGCAATTCAAGGAAATTTTAGTTGAATCAGAAGGGGAAATCTTGTTGATTTTCTTGATCTCCAAAAGATCCATTAAGAAAGTAGATGATGTTGAAATTTACAGGCTAGATATTCCAAAACTGTGGGTTAAGATGGAAAGCCTAGGGCATAGAACATTGTTCGTCAAAGAGGAATGTTGTATGTGGATTAATGCCAACAAGCTAGGATGCAGGAGCAACTGCATATATTTTACTCAGAAAATAGGTGAAAACTGGTGGCTATTCGACATGCAAGAAAAAGCAATATCACCAGCTCCTCAAAGCAGCCTTTTTGGTATTGAAACTTTGATGGAGAATTGATTACCAGGAACAACTTGAGTTACTTCCGTTGAAGTCCCTTCTGTAAATTTTTTAAAAAATTGACACAAATGAGTCATCTGAAGTACATTCACAACTCAAGAATTAATTGAATTAACTTTGAATATTACAAGGGTGTTATAACAAGGGTATGCTAGTTTCTTCTGTAACTTTTGTGCATACATAACTCAAAACTTAATGTTCTACTCAAATGAATCATTTGAAGTACATACACACACAACTCAAGAATTAATTAAATCCTTTTACATGGGCACTTGTTCCACTAAGTTTCTTGTGCAACTTTTGGGCCGGTGAGTGCTGTGGAAGTGTGGCTCCTTTGGAATTGTCAGAGGCCTTCTTCCATGAGATAACATTCTGGAAGGCGTCAAAGCCTTAGCTTTGGATTTGTCAGCTGATGCTTCTTGTATTACAGTGAGTTGCTGACCTTGTCTCAAACATGATACCATAGGAGATTTAGCATTTCTTAAATTGGCTGTCTTTAATTGTGTAGCATTAGATCTCTCTGGTGTTATACTGGATTTCCTCAATCTCACTTTCCCGTCTGAAGTCTTACTGCTTTTTATCCCACTCTCATTCTGCAAATTATCAGATATGACATGGTTTAAAATCTTCCTACCTTTCCTAGCCAAGTGATTCTGGTAAAAAATGAAGCATACTAACAAATAAAAGAAAATCTCAAGATACATGACACTTACGGATAAATCATTTTGCAAGCCCTTTGAATCTTTCTCATTGCCTTCAGGATTGTCTTTGGTGCATCTGTTTTCGTTGTCAGGATCTTCTACATTACCCTAAAATACCACAAACAACATATTCAAGAGAAGATTTAATTACCACGGTGACATAATTCCAACAGGAAATGGTTCCCCCTAGTTGTGGCAATGAAAAGATTGCTTGAATATCACTCACCTGTTTTTTCCTTTGTAAGTCAGCTTCCCTAAGAATTCCCCTTTCCTGAAAATCCATTGCTCAGTCATAAGCATTTAATACTTAATATTAAATCAAGTAAAATAGAGGATATAATTGCCTACATCAGTTCTTAGCCTGAAAGGTTTAGGATTTGTAGGCTTTGGCTTCTTGGGCTTCATCCCTGAAACTCCAGCGTTTGTGGAAAGCAAACTTTCCTTAAGATTCTTGGCTGCTGGTTGAGCATTCTGTACACATTAATCATATTACATAGTGGTCAATACATTGCAGTCATTTGAAGGCTGAAGCTAAAAGAGGAAAAAGAAGGTCAATACCTTCTTGACGATTTTTTGTATCTTCTGCACACCAAGAACTTTTTGTCCAGCCTGGTTTAAATTGTTGGTGGGACTTCTGCAATCAAATTATATACACATAAGCACCAATGTGACAACTAGTTGTGTAAAAGATAGCTTGAAGAGGTTTTGGATTAAAACATGTCAAGAAAAGCAAGCTGATTCTAGACCTGTTCTCATCGGGGACGGAAACGTTCTCTTTGTCATCACTGTCCACGCCCTCACTGTGGTGATGTCCTTCCCCTTCTGAAGTCTGGAAACAAATGGAATGGTCCATAGTATTCAATTCGGTACCATTATGATCCTCTCCAGTTGGTAGTTGACTTTGTGGGAGATCATTTCCCACCAAATCTTTTTGATCAGCATCACTTTTCAATTCTTCCGTCACAGCATCTGCTGATGCCAAATCCATATTTTTGGTAGAATGTAAAGCTGAGCAGACATTAGCTTCTGGCTGTGCAGAATTTTTATGGTTGTCTAAAGCAGTAGCAATCTCTTGGTTACCGTCTCTCAACGCTAAATCAACTTCTGTCTTGCTGCATTCATTTTCTGCCATGTTTTTGGAGTGGCACTGCTTACCCAATTTAGCTTGGTTCTGAATGTTAGTTGAGTGTAAAGGTCTGGATTCCCTTGGTACTCGAGTTTGAGACTTTCCGGTATTCTTGGGGGTCTTGCTTTTGTCCTTCTGAGGATTTCTGTTCATCATAGCATCTCTGCAATTAGGTTTTGTATCCTTTGACTTCCCGGAGTACTTCAGTAGGCGCTTCTTTTGATCTGTTATCTCTAGCTTCTTGATTCCTTGACATAATTTGGTTAAGGGAATTCGCAGTTCCACTGATTTCTTTAAACTGATGGCTTTCTTCGGGGAGTGGAAAACCAAAGCCTTAGCTATGATCTTATTCTTTGGAACATCAAGGGCAGGCTTTGGATTTTGCACACTATGAAAGGAATTTGGGTTTGGAAGGCATTTTTTGTTCCTTGGGGTTGTTAGATACTTGGCAGCAACTTGTCTTCCTCTTATTTTTGGAGTGGCAGTTGACTTTGATGGATGACCAGCCTTCTCTTTATCTTCAATCAATTTATGAGAACTGGTCTTCTCTTTGTCTTCAATCAATTTACGAGAAATGGTTGAAACAGCAGCTAACTTTGACAGTCTAGACTTGGAAGATTTTGCTGGCACTGTAAGTGGGCACTTTAAGTTCTTGCTGAAACATAAAATTAAATTGATGTCAACTGTCAAGTAGTGAAACAATGAGATAAAACATAAACTTTATTAGTATTTGATCTACTATACCCTGCAGCATGTCTGCTTAGTGCTTTCTGAAGTCTAACATTGGGGCTTCTAGCAGCCATTACCTGATTACAAAGAAAACAACATTAAAAACTTAGAATTTCAGTACAATATCAATAAGGCCATCAGTCATTATATATACAATAACAACAACTACTACGCCTCAATCTCAAGCAAATTTGTTGCTGGCTACATGAATCCTTATTGTTCATATCACTGTTAAATTTAAGCTCTGGTTAGTCGTTATATCCAGAAGGAAAAATTGCAATCAAGGATCTTACTCGGAGGATGAAATCCTTGTAGATTTTCTCTGAGTCCATTTCTTCTTCATGTTTCTGGTCGCAGCCTGAAAACAGAACAGAAGTCATACACTTATAGAGTTCCAACAACTAAAAAGTTCAAGATATTTATAACTTGAATTTTTCCACTCAACAACTAATAAGTTACAGAAATCATCAACTCACAACCCCCCCGTTCCCCTCCTCTCACACCCCAATTGCCCCTCAAATTAGGCTTTTCTAAAGTTGAAATAACATATTCTTTGTCTGTTGGTGCGGACTGTGGTCCACTATCTTGTACAATAATATGTGTAAAAGCAGCTAACTACCAATCTCATACACATCTTTGAACAATCTTGACTAGTTAAAGCATCACAAATTCCTAATTACGAACTTCAAAGGTAAAACTACAACAAGAACAACATACCCAATATAATTCCACAAATGGGGTTTGGGGACGTAGGTAAAACTAGACCTAGGTTAAATTCATCTTAAGACAGAAGAGTACAAGAATTCATATCAAATTGTCAATCGCACTCAAAACCTGAACAAGATTCAAGAATCAGATCTACTGATACCTAAAGAAATTATGAAAAGCTCAATTGGAGATCTTAGTTAAGAGAACTCAGTCAATCATTAAATGCACAAAATAAAGTAAACAGAGAGAGGGAAGAGTTCAATTAAAGTTGAATTTATAAACAAAAAAAAAAGTTTTACATACCAACACGGAGACAGAACCAGTAACGATCATCAGGGCGGTAGTGGTCGGGAGTTGAGAAATCTACGAACTTTGGGGCTTCAATTCTCTCGTAAAAAACTTCATCATCTGCGTCTTCGTCTTCTCCTCCTTCATCTACGTCCATCTCGGGCTCGATTTCAGGCTGATGCTTATCTTCTGCCATTAATTGGAGCGTCAACACAGTGATTTGTGTGTGAGAGAGAGAAAGAAAAAGGCAAGAAACTCTGGCTTTTGTTGGTGTTTTTCTATGACAAGGGAGAAGGCGGACTGAGTTTTAAACAACTGAACTGACATGTCTGTAAGTAGCCGTTACAATGGCATTTTAGTCATTTCAACCACATCCAGGGCCACTTTTGTAACTTCGCCCGATACATGAATCTAATTAAAGTTGGCGTTTAAGTTAAGTTTACGTATGCACTACTCCCCCTTTACCTATTTTCATGTAATCCTTATTTAAAGTAAATGTTTCTTAATATTTATTGTTTTACAAAATCATTGTATAAATAATATTATTTTTTCTATTTTATTCTAGAGAGTCATTGACCTCGAAAATATATCTGAAAAACTAAGTAAATCATTCATGTCCATTTGTCAAATTAATTAATTCATGTTTGTTAGTTGAAAACTTGACTTGAAGAGAACATTAGAGAAGAGTACAATGATAAACTTATATAGTATTTTAAGAACGTGAAATCTAAAATGATGACAATTAAATAGGAACGGAGGGAGTGCTAGTTATGAAAAATTTGTGTGGTGCACGGTTCAATATTTGTTCATAAATTTATTTTTTAAAGTAGTGTTAATTACCTAATTTAAAATTTTTAATCTAAAATAAGTTATACATATTTGTGTGATGATAAATTATCTCATTAAATATATAATAAATATTTGATAAATATTATAAGCAAAATGGAGGAGATAGTTGACCACATTCATGGTGAATACCTTCGTTAAAGTTGATGAATTTTCATGGAAAAAAAAATGCTTATCATAAAAAAATAGCCCAAAAATAAAAGCTAAAAGTGAATAAATGTTCACGCATATTTCATGATTCAAATTCAAAATCAAAGGAAACAAATTCGGGCTACAAGAAACCTAAAGGAGAGCCGAAGTGTAGAAACTCAAGCCCAAACCAAGAGAAATAGGAGTGGATTTGATGCTAATAAATGTCAATTTTATCTCTTCTTTTTCTTCTCTTTTTTTCCAGCCACTTTTACCTATACCTTATTTATTTATTCAATAAGCGTGTGTTTGGTCCAAATTTTGATAACTTTTTTCCTTATTTTTGTTTCTTAGTTTTGGAAGTATTTTTACATGCTTTTCTACTTTAAATTTTCTAGTTTAAAAGTTTCCTAATTGTTATTTTCATAAATTTAGGAATGGAACCCTATACTATTTTGGGATAGATAAATTTGTTATTTTCAAAAGACATACTAGTAATTATTACTCCCTCCGTCCACAATTGTTTGGCAGGTATACTAAAAATAGAAGTCCAAGATTAATTGTCAATTTAAACAATTAAGAAATAATTAGTCAATTTTTTCCAATTCTACCCTTAATGATAGTGTAGTTCAATTGAAATGTTATGTGGATTTTTGGTATTCTTGGTATAGTAGAATTATATTAGTCAAATTACACCTTGTATTAAATTTTCCTTGAAGGATGTGCATGACCTTACCCTGACAAACAATTGTGGAGGAAGTATATTATTAACAATAAATACAAAGAGTAAATATTTATAATATACTTTCAGACGGTGCTTCTCGTATTGGAATCAAGATTTTACATCAGATTTGGTCCTTCCAAGCGCAGGTTGCCTCTTTTTCTCTCTTCCCAAGTATGTATCTATCTCCTTCATCTTTAGGGTTTACTCTATCTGTCGCTTCTTGCTCTGCTTTTGATCTCGACTTGTGTTTCTTCGCTTAATCGAATTTATTTCTTTTCTGTGCGATTTGGCGTCTTCCGATGTGTATGTTTATGTGTTCGTTTTTCGAACTGAATTTAGGGCTTTTTGGTTCTAGGAGATTGGAATTTTGAGGGCCTAAACCCACTGCTTTAGGGTTGAGCCGCCTTGATTGACCAAAGTCTCAAATTTCAAGTCTTTTATGAATTTCATCTTTTCTGTTGTAATGGGTTGGTTTTACAGCAAATTATGTATCTCTATGCCTGTTTGTGTTGTACCGTATGGCTCCATTGTGGAATCCCTTGCAGTTATGGATTTACTAATTTTTTGTATTGCCTACGGATAGAAGATAGCTCTAGTTTATCTCAAAACACAAATTATGCCTGAATTGTGGAATGAATATAAAGGATTCATATAGTCAAACCCAACTAGCGTGGGGCTGGGACGTAGTTGATTTGTTGATTCTTATCTATGAAGAAAGAAGACGTTTTTACTCGGCGTTTTGCATATTTAAAACATATATGTTGTATTTCAGAACAACTTACTTTGATAGAACTTAGAAGTCATCATTGCCTTCCCACTATGGTTATGGGATCGGCTAATTTTATATGTCAACTTCAGACAGACAAATCTTGGATTTGAAGGCAATGGCTGCATAATTTAAATGATTAATGTAATTACAAATATCTTCTTAGATTTGGTTTATAGGTAGTCGGAGCTGCTTATATGCTGGATCTACCTCTGCTGCAAGATTTCATTATTTGACCAGTTGCTGTTCTGCATAGTCAACCATGCCTCTTGTGTAATGTTATAGGTGCTGGATATGGATTTGGAGACAGAGAATAGAATTGCGACAATTCTTTTGAAAGAGGCTGCAGAATTGCGGCGGCAAGCACAGTCAGAGGGTGCACTTTCTTATCTTCATCGGCCTAATGTCAGGGGGCGACCAAATTCACGGTTTTTAACAGCAACTGTTCTTGGAGTACAACAAGGTAAGCATCACTTTATTTCCCATCTAGTTCTAGCTTTTTGTTATGGTCTGATCCATTATTTCTCATTTTCTGTCTTTAAAAACTCTTTCACCCAAAGTAAATCAATATCTGGCTGCACTTAATTGGAGTTAGTGTCAGTTATTCAGCTAGTTTTACTTTCTCTAGGCAGAAATTTGGTGGTTCTACTAGCTTCTTACTGAGCAAATTTAGAGTGTAGTGTAGTGACAATATATATGTAAGCTTAGAATAGCCAACTGGTGCGAAAGATTTTTAAGTGAAAACGAAGTATGGAAGCTTAGAGTATGATCTCTTGTGGCTTTGCATTTTGGATTCTTTAAGCCAAGGTTGGGAGCACTATAAGACTAATTACAAAAGTATCAGTGAGTGAAGGAAATAGAAGAAGAAATAGGACGCAAAAGCCTCCTACTAACAAGGAAAAGAATTAACCAAGTCAAAGACCATGCAGAAGAGTAAAGGGCCTTCTGTTGGAAGAACTATTTCTTCCACTTTGTGCATATGTGCATTGTTGTATCAGTATCTTCTGCAAGAGGAGAATACTAAACATTTAATTTTACATTTTAGCTTCACATATGAGGTTGGAATTTATTCTTCAATATGGTCCACATCAGTTGTGTTATGTCTAGGGCTATTAGGCAGCTTCGTTAATGCTCGACAGGCAAAGGATTTGGGAAACATAAGAGGAGGATCTGGGATACAATTCCAGCTTGCATTTGGTGGGTTGGTGATATGGAAAGAAAGAAACCAAATATGATTTTAAAGCAAATTATGAGAAAATATTCATATTTTGAAATATCGATGTATTTCTTTTTTGGCTTTTTGGTGTAGATTAGAAAATTTTTACACAGTGGATGATATGTTAGAATGTCTCAGCTTCCTACAGTAATGTAAAGGAACTGAGTTTTTTGTAATTTTGTGGCAGTCTTTGTGTACGTTGTGTACATGAAAATCCTTAACCTATCCAAAAAAAAAGAAGGTATCTCCCGCATGAGTATTATGAAATCAAGTGATTGTGTACAAGTTGATTTAAGTTGTGTACAAGCTAATATAAGAACTATTTCATACATATGCTTATTTGTTTTTCCTCAATTTTGTTTCGTGTGAATGATGTTTTGCTGCCTTAGTAGGTTGTGTAGGACTCGATGTGTGAAGAACCTACATATGAAGTGTACACAATGGTTGTCAGTCTGGGAAATGTGAAGTGTAGTATTTGAAGGGTAAAATTAGTCACATATACGGCACAGTGGACAGGTCTCATATATTAGTGCTCTGGTTTGCATCTTTTTGTGACTCTTAAATTTTACCAATTGCAGCTAACCGGGCTGTTGAAGTAAATGAGATGTGGAAGTTAAGGCAGAAAGAGGTGAAGCTTGAAAACAGGATCGAGGGAAGGTCGGCAGATAATAACAGTGATACAAAGTGTCATAGTTTTAGTGTCTCGGAAAGGAGGTCACATGAGAGATATGATACTGATTCTGGCACAAGGGGATCAAAGAAAAGGAAGATACAAGATTCTCATTCAAGTGAAGATGAAGGATTGAGAGATGCTGAAATTGAGGCATTTCTACATTCGAGGTCAGTCTTTCTTTCAAAACATCTATTCGCGCAATGACAAAAGAAAATAAAGAAGGAAATCAGACCACATCTTTTTGTGGATGCATGCATTGAGTCTTATATTTCACTTGTCTTTAGGGTGTCAAAACCTCAATTTGCCTCACATAGCTAATTGAACATCTTGTTATTGGCAGGGTCAAGCGAGGCAGAGGGACTGTTGGGTCACGGATGGATGAAGCTGGTCCTTACCTTCCTTCTAGTCCAGATCCCAGAGAAAAAGAGTCAGCAAGTCCTGATATGAAACTAAGCAAAGGTAGCGGGTATCATGTCGTCGTTGGGCCAGAGAAGCCCGTCTGGCTGAATTCCCCTGGTTCTTCAGAAAATGAATCTCTGTCAGATGATAAGAGAAAGGCCCCAAAGAAGGCTAAATCCAGTAAGCACCATGACCACTGTAGGAAACATAGATCAAAAAAGAAGTCCAAGGACAAGGAGCATAAAAGTAGGAGAAGAGAGGAGAAAAGACTCAAACGTCACAGATAGATAGTATTCCCTTAGCGGTACTTATCCGTTCCTTGTTGATTCATAGGTTCGTTCAGATGTTAATCGTCCCAACTCTTGCTCCTGCTTCATGGAAGTTCCATTTGTTGAGTACTTTTGTATATTTTGCACATTTCTCCTGTAAAGATTACCTTTCATTTCTCACGCCCACTTCAACAAAAATCAATTTATGCTTCTTCAAGAAACAAGGTCAGTATAACTCATTTATTTTGACTCCAACTCGCTT